GTTCATGACTGGTGTTATGTCATGTTTATGAAAGTGTCTTGACAGTCTTATTCAACCCCCTTCAAATAAAGTGTTACCAATACTTTAAGTGTGAGTACTCCTATTATTATTAATTTCTCAAAATACATTTTGTGGCAAGGAAAGAAAAGCCAAGGTATTAATATTCACTTTTGAACTGAGGCAACTCTTTTAGTAATTGCTTGTTGGATTCAGACATGTAGTAAACGCTGCAACATTGCATGCAGGTGAAGTATGCAATTCTCCAAAACTCAATGAATTATCAATTAAACAATTGTTTTCTGATGCAACTTTCTATTCGATTCCAAAAGATGAACAGACTTTATTTTAACTATGCAACCTTGTTTTAAACAGACATGGTGTCCACCGCTAAAGGACGGCTCTACCACAACACTTGTGATTCCTGCAGAACGACCCTAGAACATTACATCTGGTCAGTATAAACGTTACACGTTTCTTGCCCAAAGAATTGAGAGAAAATCCCTAATGTCAATATTCTGCTGAAAGATGTAGCTCAAAAGATGAAGAGCACAAAAAGCGTTGAGTATTCCACGGTTGGGGAAGTTGCTTGTGATATCTGCACCGAACCAAAGCTGAAGGCTGAGAAGTCCTGCCTGGTGTGTCTCACCTCATATTGTGCGCCCCACTTGGAGAATCATTATTCAGCTAAAAGATTGAAGGGCCACAAGCTGGTGGAACCAGTGAAGAATTTAGATGCAAGGGCCTGCCTGACTCATGGACACTCGCTTGAGCTGTACAGCAGGAAGCAGCAGAAGTGCATCTGTGTTCGATGTATTGAAGGAGGTCAAGAGGAAGTTGTTTCGACAGAAGAGGAATGCCAAAAGAAGAAGGTACCATAACTTCCTGATTCTGTTTGTCTTATCTGTTAAGCCTATCACCATTTTTTGAGTGAAAGGAAATGTTAAGCTTTGAAAATGTTTTCTCTCTGTACCTGTAGGCTGAACTTGAGTGGACCAAGACGACATTACAACAAAGAGTTATGATGAGAAAAACAAAGATGGTGGAGATCAACAAGGCTCTGAAGAGTTGCAAGGTACATGTGACTCAAAACAGGCCAACGTTTGTGATCCTAGATGAGACACCCAATCACACCAGTTCATTAAAATATGCAATTACAGAGCCACTAGTTGTGTTTCCATTGATTTTAAAATTGTGCAAATTGGAATTAATTCTCTTAAGTGAAATATGCCAATTAAGAAAAACTCAAGTGTTTTTGTATTGTGCAAACTGTCATGGAAACACTTTTTTTGCACCATACACGTCATGTGATCAACAACCGGATGTTACTACAGGCAGAAAATAAGAAGATGACAGCAGGAAGTGGTATGAGGATGACGGTGCGGCATGTTTTTTAATGATTTGTCACGTCAAACTCACTAATGTGTGATTTTAAGTGCATCTCACAATGGAAACATCACAATTGTTAAATTGTGTTTTTTCAACTTCAGCAGAATGTCACTGCGTTTGGAATAGAAACACAGTGACAGAAACAAACTTGGTGTGATACTTAGGTAATCTACAAACCAGTTTGCTCCAGGTGCGTTTCAGCCTGAGAGTACCTTCTATGAAATGACACAAATGTTCAACTTGGACTCAGATTTATGACTTACTATCCAAAGCTCTGACTGCTTGAAACTATTTTTTGCTGCATCTTTAGAATCTTCAGGGTTTTCGAGTCGAGATAGAATTGGCTTTTGTAATGAGTATTCATCGTCAATACCACGTATTGCAAAGTCATGACTGGTTATACTCATTTTCAGGAGCAGCTTGAGTGGTGGGACATTGAGGCAGTGTTCACTGCTGTGATTGCCATCGTGGAGGCAGCCAATGCAAAAGTAGTGAAACCGCTACAAGACAGGAGGCATGCGCTAGAAAAAGAAGCAAAAGAGCTGAAAGACGAATTGGAAGCTGAAATCAACACACTTGAGACGACAATCGCTGAACTGGACAACATATCTGCACTTGAGGATCACATCCATTTCCTACAGGTCTAGTCTGGAAACCTTGCTTTTGAGTTAGTGTGGTCGACAACACAGTCATTTTCATCTGGATTGTTTCCTTTGTATGTTTTCTTCCAACTCTCTACAGAGGTATCCATCAATTTCCATCCAGGATGATATGAAAAACTGGACTGATGTAAAACTTGACACTTCACTGGCATTTGGTTCCGTGAGAGGAACCACAACAACTATGATTAAAGATATTCAGCAAGAGCTGGAGAAGCTGGTCACCACTGGTAAGAGGTGTCTTTTGTTTGTGAAAGTGGAAACTGTTAGAGTACTGTTCAGTAAAACCTGTCCTCTTCTTTACAGAACTGAAGAGAATCCAAAAGTTCACAGGTGTGTTATATACCCAACTTAACGTTTCCCATAAAGCTATGGTTTACATCCTGAAATTATTTGTAATGTTTCAACAGTGGACATAAAGCTGGACCCAAAGACCGCACACCGACGTCTCGTACTTTCACCTGATGGAAAGGAAGTACGAGATGGAGGAGAAAACCAGGAAGTTACTGATTCACCGAAGAGATTCGACGTGTTTGGTAGCGTCCTGGGACTCAACAGCTTGACTTCTGAGAAGGCTTACTGGGAGGTGGAGGTCAACAACAAGACCGGATGGGATCTAGGCGTAACCAGAGGCAGCGCCGACCGTAAAGGGAAACTGACGCTGAGCCCAGATAAGGGTTACTGGGTTCTGGTACATTATGAAGCGGAGAACTACGCCGCCATGACAGTACCACCCACCTGTCTTTTCCTCGAAGGAAAACCCAATAAGGTGGGGGTGTTTGTGGACTACAAGGAAGGTTTGGTCTCTTTTTATGATGCGACAACTCGGTCCCATATTTACTCTTTCACTGAGTGTTCATTCAGAGATGAGATCTACCCTTATTTCAGCCCTCACAATAAACAGGGTGAGATGAACTCTGAAGCTTTGATTATTTCTACCGGTCAACATTCAGAAATGGATAATGGACTCAATTCTTAGTTCAGCTTCAACTTCTTCATTTCACAACTTCCTGTCACATCACATTAACTCAGGCCAAGTCTGAATTATCAATATGGGCATTTTTAACAAAGGTAAGACCTGAATGCAACAATGTATGACCTTTCACTTCAACGCAAGTACTTTTCCCTCATTTACTGGTAGAAATGTAAAATTGAAGTAAAGAACAAAAATTTAATTTATAATGCTAATTTCTTAATTTCCCCCATAACTTTTCATTAATCACTGTTTGCAGTGTACTCAGTCAATAATGGGTGGACATAATGTTGTAGAAAAATAATGCAGAAATTTTTTAAATCATTTAAAAAATTATATATATATATA